GTCCCAGCTACTTGGGAGGCTGAGGCAAGAGAATCTCTTAAGCCCAAGAGTTTGAGGTTACTGTGAGCTGTGATGCTACAGCACTCTACTGAGGGTGACAAAATGAGACTCTGCCTCAAAAAAAAAATGAGTTTGGTACTATATATTAAATACATCTTTTGGGCCCAAGTGATTCTCCTGTCTTAGCCTCCCAAGTAGCTGGGATTATAGGCACCCACCACTCCACCTGGCTATTTTTAGAGATGAGGTCTCACTCTTGCTCAGGCTGGTCTCTATCTCCTGAGCTCAGGCAGTCCATCCACTTCAGCCTTCCAGAGTGCTAGGATTATAGGTATGAGCCACCATGTCAGGCATTATATTAAATATAGAAATGAAGGAAAAGGAGGAGAGACATTTAAAAAAACAAACAAGGCAGTGCAAGGAAAGGACTTGTCTAGGGTACTAGAGGCTAGCGTGGGGCCCGAGACTGGCAGTGCCCACTGAGCGCTTTAACCGAGTGCCCCCTGTGCACCGTACTTTGTACAGGGCATGGGCCTAGAGTGGTGCTGCTGTGAGGGGTTCCCATCACTCCCAGGACAGTACCTTGCCCCTCAAGTGGTCTGCCTTTCTGCTTTCCTCAGTCCCTCAGCAGCTGTGCTCCCAGCTGGGATGGGGGCTGGACTCCAAGAAGCTACATTCCCAGGGCCACCTCCTCAGGCACGGCCCCACAGGTCAAGGAGATGGGAGTTTATTTTTAGACACCGAGTCTCACTTTATCGTCCTCGATAGAGTGCTGTGGCGTCACAGCTCACAGCAACCTCCAGCTCTTGGGCTTAGGCAGTTCTCTTGCCTCAGCCTCAGCCTCCTGAGTAGTTGGGACTACAGGCGCCCGCCACAACACCCGGCTATTTTTTGTTGCAGTTTGGCTGGGGCTGGGTTTGAACCCACCACCCTCGGTATATGGGGCTGGCACCCTACTCAGTGAGCCACAGGCGCCACCCAGGAGATGGGAGTTTTGAGAAGAAAAGGAAACACCTTAAAGTGGGACCATCACGTCTCTGAGCAACTTCTGTCTGGTTCACCGTCCCATCAGGTGTAAATGAGGTCGATTACTGCCAGTACCCGTCGCGGGAGACCCAGCTGCAGTGGCTGCACTACTACCTGCAGGCACAGAAGGGAATGGCCGTGACCCCCAGGGAGGTGGAGAGGCTCTACGTGCAAGTTAACAAGTTTGCCCTGGTGAGTGCTGTGACTGGTAGCGGCTAGGAACAGAGGAGCCAGGAGGAGGGACTTATTACCCCTAGAGATGAGGCCTGGAAAGCCCTGTGTTGGGCAGCTCCTTCTGCTCCCCCACCCCATCAGTCTAGGTCCTCTCCCTTCTAGAGAAAGACTTCCAAGAAAAATCCCAGCTTCCTATTTTAGCAATTCTCTCCCTTGGTTAAGTAGTTCTTTCTACTGTTTAATCGCAGCCTTGCGTGCTGTAGTTAAACTCATCTTTGCATATATATAATGTCAGGCTCTAATCCTCCTGCAACTACCTCTACTGACTCAGAACTCTGTGGAAGCCTTTCCCATCTTCCCTTCCTGCTCAAGTCACTGTGCTGTCAGTTCTCAATTCTGAGTGCCACTTATCCGATGTAGATGGTTCATGCCAGATCACCACTGGCGTGCGCCCAGGGGATTACTAACTAGTCTTATTAATGTCAGCCGTGCATAAGTGAGAAGGTAAGTCAGCTGCCCTGAATTTCACAATACATAATACAGCTAAATAAAATCTTGCCTGTGCTTTTGGATTGCCTGCTCTAGTTTCCTCGCTGGCACTTCTGCATTAGGGTTTTCCTTCCTGGTGTTCCACCGTAAGAACAAGTCTTCCTCTTGCTAAGGTTTTTAGTAATCATTTATTCTGGCTAGTTTATCTATGCCACTTTTAAGTCATGAAAAGAGAAGGCAGTGGAGGGGAGGTACTTTGTAGCCAACCCCTGAGTGAGCAAGTCTCTGGGATGGAGTGGGAATGCCATATGGGAAAGTGATGGTGTCAGGGGAAGCTGGGAACCACGGTCCCCTGGGCTGCTTGAGTCTGAGATGACCTGGGCTTGGTGGGCACCTCTGGCAAAAAGGAAAGTGGAATTTAATGCTTAGCAAATGTCTGTACTTGAGGGCATCTTTGTCCTCATATCTAGATTCACTTTTTAACCTGACTGGCCTTCCAGTAGAGGAGAGTAAAGGTCAGGGTAGGGGTTATACCCACAGACACATGGCCAGGGCACTGCTGCCCATCTCACTCCTCAATTCCCTGTGCCCTAGTGAGGATGTACCAGCCTCTCCATTGGCCGCTAGGTCTAAGCTCTGGGAGTCGTCTTGTCCTGGATAGCTTGGCCTTGAAGATTCTAGGAGATTCCCCTGGGCAGGAAAGAAGCCATGGGTGGAGTGGGATTGTGGGTCCTGCTTAGGCTGGGGGAACCACCTGAAGTTCCTAGAAGCACCTTTCTGCTGATCATACGCCCTTAGGGTGGGCCAGCACTGGGGCCTTGGTAGAGCTGACTCTCCTTGCCTTTTTCTGGCAGGAGTGGAGGCCTCAAATACTGTCCAGTGACTTGGCCTCCAGAATTTCCCCACCACATCTCTGCCAGTATCCTAGCTCTGTGTCTTCCAGAATGGCTCTATAGGGATGGCATGGGGGGGGGGCTGCTAAACTGACCCTCTCTGGTCTGTTTCCAGGCGTCTCACTTCTTCTGGGCTCTCTGGGCCCTCATCCAGAGCAAGTACTCCACCATCGACTTTGATTTCCTCAGGTGAGTGTGGGGTAAACAGGTAGGGAGGGGGCATGGAGAAAGGAAGAACCTTGAACCCAAGGTACAGAGGGGGCAAAGGACAGTCCTTTGGAATGGAAGACCTGGAGTCTATTCCTCTGTTCTGTTGACTCATCCCCTTTCCACTGCCCCTGGGGGTGCCGAGGAATACCACTCTGAAAATAGAAGTGCCATGTCCTCCTTTGTGCCAGTCCCCTGATGTGTCTCCTGCCACTCCATTGCCCTGCCTGCTGCCAGCACACCTGTCTGCAGTGCTTGGTGATGGAGGGAATCATTGAAATCAGTCTAAAAGATTATGGAGATCTTTTATAGTGGAGAAGACAGAATTCCAGAGCAGAAGTGACATATGAGGTCACTTGGGTGGCTTTGTGTTTGCTGTGCTGCCTCCCTGCATGGATGTCAGGCCCATCTACCCCTTTAGTGGCTCCTAGTGCCATATCGGCACAGTACTTACATGTGGTTCTCAACCTTCCTAATGCCGCAACCCTTTAGTACAGTTCATGTTGTGGTGACCCCCAACCATAAAACTATTTTCGTTTCTACTTCATAACTGTGATTTTGCCACTGTTATGAATCATAATGTAAATATCTGATATGCAGGATGTATTTAGGCAACCCCTGTGAAAGGGTCGTTCCACCCCCAAAGGGGTCGCGACCTACAGGTTGAGAAGCGCTGATAGATGGTACTTGAGTACTGGCAATCAGTGGGGTCCCCGTCATGGAGGTATGTATGCCCCATGTATGCCCCTAAGGACCAGGAATCATTTCTTCCTCCATTCTTGCCAGACCCTTGCTCTTCTCCCCACCCTCCTTTAGCTTAAAAGGAATCATGACCCCAACTTCAAAGTATTCACAACCACGAGGGAAATGAGATCAAAAGCACAATGCGATACCGTACAGCGCTATATCCATTAGGACGAGCTATCAAAGAAACCAGAAAATAACAAATATGTGTAAGGATATGAAGACATTGGAACCTTTGTGCACTGTTGGTGGGAATGTAAAATGGTGAGCTCCTATGACGGCTGCTCAAAAAAACTAAAAATAGAATTACCATATGATCCAGCGATCCCACTTCTGGGTACATAGACAAAGAGTTGAAAGCAGGGTCTGAGAGAAATCTGTACACCCATGTTCACAGCAACATTACTTACAGTAGCCAAAAGGTGGAAGCAATCCAGGTGGATTGACTGGATAAATAAAATGTGGTACATACACACAATGGAGTATCACTCAGCTTTAAAAAGGAAATCTTACCACATGCACCAACCTTGAGGATGTTATGATAAATGAAATCAGCCAGTCACAAAAAGATAAAATACTGGCCAAGCCCCATCTTTTTCCTGGAGCCCTGCTCAGGTACCTCTCTCTGGCCCAACAAGGAAAAAAAGAAGACAGGTTGGGGGCAGTGGCTCACTGTAATCCTAGCACTCTGGGAGGCTGGGGAGGGTGCATGGCCTGAGCTCACAGGTTCGAGACCAGCCTGAGCCAGAGCAAGACCCTGTGTCTTAAAAAATAGCTGGGCATTGTCGCAGGCACCTGTAGTCCCAGCTACTTGGGAGGCGGAGGCAAGAGAATCGCTTAAGCCCGAGAGTTGGAGGTTGCCATGAGCTGTGACAGCACTGCACTCTACCAAGGGTGAAAAGGCAGACTGTTTAAAAAGAAAAAAGACATCCTATGTGAGTCCACTTATAAGATAGTCAAATTCATAAGAAATAAGCAGAACGGTCAGGGCCTAGAGGGGCACAAATGGGGAGGGTCGTTTTGTGGGTATAGTTTCGGTTTTGCCCAATGAAAAAGCTGAAGAGATTTATTACACAATAAGATGAATCTACTTGGCACTTCAAAGCTGTCAAAACAAAACTCCAAACGTGCAGAAGCGTTACTCCAGTCTATCTGAGAAGAAAAAAATGAACAAACGAAAACCTGGGCTGGGGTTGACCTGCCCAGACCTAGGTGGCTTCAAGCTGCTTTCCTCACAATGTGAGTGTCCTCACAGGGCCCACTGGCCTCCCTCCCCACACCCAGCTTCTTCTGCTTTCTGACAGGTATGCAGTGATCCGATTCAACCAGTACTTCAAGGTGAAACCTGAAGTGTCAGCCTTGGAGATGCCAAAGTGACCAGCCACCCCACCCTCCCCTACCCATCTGTCTGACCAGACCTGTTCTCCAGGGCTCAGTTCAGCTCTGGGGTCTACACCCTTGGACAAGGTGGGAGAAGGGGAAGGTTGGATGTCCAGGGAGAAGGCTCTATCCCTGCCATCAGCCCCCAGTGGTTGCCACCGAAGACCTCATTCTCCTGTTTGGAGGGGCTGATAGGACCCATCTCTGGGGGTCCCCTTCACCTCGCCAGGCTTGGGAGGAAGTGCCTGTAGACAGCCAGGGCCTAGACCATAACTGCCCTTGGGAAGCACATCATTCCCAGCACAGGCCCTGCTGGAATTTGGGCTGCCTTAGATGTGTCATTTAACCCTTCCTGGCCTGGGGAAGTAGGGAAGGGAGGAGGGCTTCTTTCTACCTCCAGTGCCCCTATGGGCCTCCAGCCCGTCTCCCTCTACATGCCCCGTGTGGGAGGTGCTGAGCCCCAAACCAGCGTCAAACCAACTCTGACACATGGATGTACATATCTTGCTGGGGCGTCAAACCAACTCTGACAGATGGATGTACATATCTTGCTGGGGCGTGGGGCGTCTACAATTCAGTGAGACACCTCCCCTGGCAGTGGCCTCACCTGAGACTCCTCACCTTCTCTAAACCAGATCCAATCAAGTAACTCCTTCTCGAACCTCAGCCTGAGGAGACATGCTCCCCCCAGTGCCCCTCCTGCTCCTGTGCTTCTGTTCTATCCCTCTGCAGCCTGCCAGGGGGCTAAGGAGACAGATGACTTTAGCCCTGGGCCCAAGAAGGGGCACAGCCAAGGGTAGGGTGGCCAGAATCAGAGCCAGCAGCCTCCTGCCTTGTTCCCTCCCGGCCCTCCAGGCACTCCTTCCCAAGGATGTTTCTCCATCTCCATCTCTGTCTTGAAGTTGACCGAGGTCTTCCCACCTGGGAATGACCAGTGGGCATCGAGGGGCAGAGGGGGCCAGGGGCCTCCTCTAGGGCCCAGCACATGAGAGCCTGGCAGGATCGAGTCAGAAAGGTGCTGACCGTTGCACTGCCACTGGACAGCGTCCACCTCCCTTCAGCCCTCACAGCTCCTCTGGCCCATAAAGTGATTCACTTGTAAATTATCATGGTTTTCTGCATTAAAATGCTCAATTCTGGACTTCTCTGTGTCTGTCCAGTGACAGTGGTGAGGATTTATGTCCTGGGTGCAGGGCCAAGGAGCACGGCAGCTCCTCTTCTCTGCCGTCCCTTTGGGCTGGATGCTGAAGTGGAGGTAGCAGCTCTGCAGACCTGGGCAGGCTGGTGTTTCACAGCTTCTCTGCTTTTGGTGGTGTTGCTAAAATCAGTTGAACCTGGGAGAGGGCTGCCGCGAGGGAACTAGGCTGTGTCTGACCAAGGTGATCAAGCAGTGAAACCCAGAATGGAGGGACTCAGGACATCTCCCTCAGTCATTCTGGGTCCCAGCATTGGGGCTGATAGCAAGCAAGAGTGATTTTTGGAACCAATCTGTTATCTTCTCAGAAGACCACAGGGAGGAAAGGGCAGAAACTCTGAAGGGAGAAGGGGGTGTCCCTCAGCAGCCCAGTTGCTATAGGCGTAGCAACTTTCAGGGTAGGACACAGGGCAGCAGCTGCTTGCTTCCAGGGCCCCCCAAATGTGCGCAGTACCCTTAGGGGCAGTGCTGGCAACAGCAGCCACCACCTGCCAGGTGGACTCTGGTTGGTTTTTGTCTGCAGAAGTACCAGGATGCCATGGCAACTGCTGGAGCTGGCACTGGCAGCTGGCACCTATCAAGGTCACAGTGATCCAGCATGGCTAGAACTTCCAGGGGCAGCAGCCTAGGAGGGGTCTTAATCAAGGACATGGGGAAAGAGGTCCCACATAGGGATGGTGTCAGAGCTGGGCAGGCAGGTCTTCTGGTGGTCATCGTGGGGACAGGTGGCCAGACATGACCTGTCTGCAGACTAAACAGCAGTGCCCACCCTTCTGTTCTTCTCAGGGCCAGCTCTGAGACTGAGGGCAGCATTAATACTGAAGTCAGCTTTTTCTCCAGCTTCCAAGCAGTGTTGGAAGCAGGTATAGCAGCATTGACCAGGAACTAGCTGGAATGTGGCCCCTGGGTATCATCCTGTGCCCCTAAGGCCCTGGCCACAATCCTGCAGCCCTATCCCGCTGACACCTTTGAGTAAGTATTCTCATTCCTCCAGTCCTCCAGGGAAATGAGTAGGTAAGGGGCACACCACCCAAAGCCTGGGCATTCTACCATCTCTCCTTTCCCAGTGCCCCTGGACTAACCAGAACCCCTGACCTTCTGGCTAAGCACCAGGCCACCTGAGTGTGACCTGAGCACCACCTCCTCCAGCCCCTTCCTAGGCCCTTGGCAGAAGCTCCAGGCAAAAGATGGGCTCTGACCTTCTGTCTCTGCAGGAGAGGCCTGGAGGGGGCAGAGAACAACTTGTGGCCCAGCCTTCCTGGTAATGAGGAGGACACTATGTTCCTGGCCTCTGCAACCCACCTGACCCATCCGCCCTCTCGTGGGAGGTGTGTGTGGGGGGGTGGGACTCCATTGCACCAACCATCCTAAGTGGAAGACACAGGGCCAATCCCTGTCTCAGCAACTGGAATGGAATGCGGCAAGCAGGACAAGAGTCCCTGGCATGGGACATGGGCAGTACTAGCCTTAGGCCCCCACCTCTACCCAAGGCCACTGAGGACTTGGGAACAGGGGAACTCAGGATTGGCTAGGAGTGTGTGGGTGAGCCAGGCAGGGAATCTGAGTACACTGGCCAGGACTTGGTTTGGAATAATGAGCACAGTGGGGGTGGAGGAGAGGGACAGTGGGAGATGACTGCCATGGCAGGGGGCATCAGGCCAGCGAGGCTCCTCCTTCTACTGCCACCTGCATCTAAGGAGAAGGGCCTGCAGCTTTGAGGGACAAGGCTGGGAAAAACCAGCAGGTGAGCAGCTGGACGTGCCCCAGACCAAATAGCTGGGCCCCAAATTCTTGAGTCTTTGTTTCCACACCCTTCCAAGTCTGTGGCCCTGGAATCAGTTGTACCCACCTTTCCTCAGCACCACCATCCCCAATCTAGGAATCCCTCAGCCAGCGTTCCAGAGCCTCTGAGTACTTCCTAGGTTAGGACATTGACTACATTTTTGAACATCTTTGTTGAAAAGTTCTTACTTTCATTTGCAAGTCCAAGTTCCACCTCAAGAGCTATGTAGAATTACCGTTGCCCACCTAGCAGCTTTGAAGAAATGATCACATCCTTTCTGCCCTACTCTCTCCCCTCTTTTCTGGACTAAACATGCCTGCCCTTTTGACCATTCCTCTCAGGATGTGTCTGCCAGGATGCTGCCAGTCCTTCTCCACTGTGACAACAGCCTTTTCTAGGAAGGGGTTAGGCCTATGTGGGGTACCCTGGAACCATCACCTGCCTTGTTGTGAACACAGTCTCTATTAATCCTGCCCCAATCTAACGCTTTCAAGAGAAATGCCATTCAGCTCTGCTGTCCCCATTCCATACTGATGGGATTAATTTTTAACCACAGGAGCTGTCTTTTTATAGATCCTGGTTAATATGCATTTTGTGAGCTTCAGGCCTATTTTTTCCTAGTGCAATAACTCAGTCTTTGAAATTCTCACCCACAGCATAAGGTCACAGAGCCCTGAAGCGCATTAGAGACCCTGCTTTATTAACAGGGGGCAGGGGGTGAGGGTGAGGAGCTCATAAATGGGCTTGAGCGTGTCCATGCATCCCCTTTTCCGGGACTAGGGCCCAAGCTTTCATTGGTATCTCAAAGGGCTCCTTTTCTGAAAGAGGATAAGAACCAGGATAAGGTTTAATCCCTTTGTTCTCAGATGAGGACAATGAGGCCTCTAAAGGGGACCTGATCCTTCTCACTAAACCATGTGGATAGTACCAGGGAGAACCTGAGCCTAACTCCTACTGCAGTGCTCTCACCATGGTCTTGTTTCTGAGGACCTGACGGGCTCACCTGCTTAAGGGAGGGGCATTCAGTGTTGGCTCTGTAGGTGGTGCATGTCCCTCATTCCCTTGGCCTGGGCCTCTTGCACCTAAGCCAGTTCCTTCCTGCTGATCCCTGAAGCGCCCACAAGTGGCCACCAGAGGGCAGTGGTGCCTAGGTTTCAGGCGTACTTAGGAATCCTGGACTCAGGCCAGCCTCCCTCCTCCCCTGCACAAGGGCCAGATTCTGAAATGATCTGTCTTTATTATGCCATCAGAAAACAAAAAAATCCCCCGAGTGTAAACAGGAGAAATGTGCTGGTTAAGTTATTCATTATCTTATTATTAACAAAATAAAGCACTATCTATGTTTACAGTCATAAAAAAGAAACAGCCTGGAAAGAAATGGGGGCTTTGGGAAAGGGGAAGAAAGGGGAGAAGATGGGGGGCAAGCAGACTCCATATCTGGCCCTGTGGGATTTGGGGTTCCCTTCCCACCCTGATCTGAGAGCTGTTCCAGATCTTTGGAGTTTGATGCCAATAGGATTTGATTTCCTTAAGGAAATAACTTGTGAATCTGAGACCCATTCCCTAGTGTAGAGTTGGGGGAGGTGAGGGCAGGTGGAAGAGGGGCAGGGTCAGGCTAAGAGAGTATAGCAACCCCTTCCAAGAATGGGGAGCCCCCCCATGTTCATGAGGGTGGGCTGGAGACCAGCTCCCATGGCGAAGCTCCCTCTCTAGGGCCCCTATCACTGGAAGGAAGGGAGCATCAATTCCCCCCCACTCCTGCAATCAGGTTGGGATAAGGGACAGGGCTGGGCCACCAGGACAAAGCCCCCTGGAGACTGAGGCACATTCCCATGCTTCTCAGACCTAAAAGTGGCTCCGTGGGAACCAACTGGTAGAGTCAGGGAGGGAGTGGGGGTGGGGGAAGTGAACAGGCAGGCAGGAGGAGGTCAGGAAGGCTGGTGGGCCCCAGGCAGACCAAGAGCCTAAAAGGACCCAGAGGGCATGTGGGGGTAGGGATAGAGAGACAAAGAGGGGCCTTGCAGAAAGACAAGAGAGATAGAGAATTGCACACAAGGACACACAGAACCTGAGACACCCAGACTGACAAAGAGGTAGCAATTTGGGAAAAAAGAGAAGCACAGAAAGAGGCTTCCAGAGAAATGAGAGTGGCATCAAGAGACACACCCACAGGAACTCAGCAACAGTGCCTGGCACATCAAGGGCACTCAATAAATATCTTGTGCAATGAATGAACAGATGAAAACATACACACATACACAGAGAGCAGCCAGAGGCACAGTGGGCTTGGCAGAGATAGACAGTGAAGAGACAGCCAGACCTTCTGCACAAAGCGATCCTGGTGACAGAGGAGTGATCTTGGGGGTACGTGGGAGGGGGTGGTGGTCCCACAGTGGCTGGTCCAACCAGTACAGGAATGGAAACAAAGCATGTGACCCCAGGGGGACAGGTCTATAGCTGCCACATCCCCATGGGTAGACCTGCAGGAGGGAGAGCCAACCAGTGTCCCCTGGCCATGAGCCCCAAGGGCCAAAGAGCTTAGCCAGCTCAGCCCATCACCAATGTGGGCCCTGCCCACCAGGTGACAGCTTATTAGGTATGTCCAAGGGTGTGGTGGGGAGGGGGACTCTCCCCTCATGCACATATCTACAAGTGCACAGCTTTGCTCATCTCCAGGGCACACCCAAGTCCAAGTACCAACAGAGTCCAGGTCAGCTGGCTGTGCCCATGGGGTGGAGGTGGGGTTTCTCCCCAGAAGGGGCCAGGCCCACACTGCAAGATCAGTCTGTGAGCACTACCAACTCCCCATCACTCTTCTCTTCGACCTCTGAGTCCTCGTCCTCACTGTACCGGTACATCTCTCCATCGGCCACTGAGTGCCTGTCATCTGTGCCTTCACCTTCCTCCCTGAGGCTGCAGGTGTTGACAATAACAGGCATGTTGGGGTCCAGGCTCCGGGGGACATAGTGCTCCACCAGCGGCTGTGCCAGGGGCATTCCTGCCGCCCGAGGGTACAGGACGTCTGAGGGGCTCATCTGCACCTGGCCAGCCTGTGGGCTGGGGGCAGAGAAGAAGTATGGTTATACCAGCATCCCCACTCCAACCCCAAGCCCAGCCCCCCACAGGCCGCCTCAGAGCATGCAGGCCCACCCCACACCTTCTTGGCTCTGTGACTCAGACAACCGCCCCCATTCTGTTTTCTGATGGTCAAATTCAGTGTCACCTACATCCCTGCAGATGGCCCCGCAGACCCAGGGCTGTGGGTGTGTTCAACAGATAATCTTCTTGGAGGATGGGGTATGAATCCAAATTTGTGAAATGTGTATTTTTAACACCCTTGAGGGGTTTCCTTTTAAAGGAATCCACTAGGATGCTAGCTTTGTTCAAGTTGAGAGAATATTTTGATTTTTAGTACCTCTGGATTTGTACAGCGTTCATCAGAAAAAGGACCTGCGAGCACATTTATTTCTCCAGGCACATGTGGCCTCCACAGGTACTCAAAGTCACAACCCACAACCCCAGACTCCAGGTGCTCAGTGCAGGCACACACACAGCCACACACAGTCGCCCCTGGCTGTGGTCACATGCAAAGGCCAGCCACACACTGACACCGCCACTCGCAAGAGTTACACAGGCACAGATGGTCTCTCAGCCGCCTGGTGGGTGAGGGGCACTGCTCACGGGATGGCATAGCTCTGGCGGGCATCCTGGCGCCGGGTCCTCATCAGGGCCTTGTACTCGCCCACACGCAGCCGCTTGCCCTCCACTATGCAGGTGCGCTTGGGCCGTGGCTTGTACTTGTAGTCAGGATACTTCTCCAGGTGTTGCCGGCTCAGCCTCGCCTGTTCCTCATAGTAGGGCTGCTTTTCCTGGTTGGTCATGGACTTCCAGCGGGAGCCTGGCCCAGCCCCCAGGGGCAGGCAGTCAGTGCTGAGCTCTGCTGACCACCCCAGCCCCCTGCAGACCCTGGAGGCCTCTAGGAGAGTATGGTCCCTAGGTAGGGCCATAAGATAATACGTGTGCAAGCACTGCGCAAGCTCCTGCCCCATGTGGGTGCACCATGAATGTTGAGCAAAGGAATGAATCAAGTTGGCCATGTATACGGATATCCAATTTCAGCTTAAGACTCGCATCCACCCACATCCCAAATGATCAGGCAACTTCTCGGAGGCCTCTGGTCTGCCTGATTTGATAAAAAGAACAGCCACTCAGGCCCTTAAAAACCCAGATAGCCTCTGTGCAGAGGACAAAATTCCTGGTGCTTTGGTTGACAAGGGACCTGCACAGAAACCAGAGGAGCCTCTGTTTTGAAAACAACTGTCCCCTTCTAGCACCATTTTCCTGCCCCACACCCCTCCTTGGCCTCCAATCAGAACATATAATTGACATTGCCATGAGCTATACCCAGAGCGACAGAGTGAGACTCTATCTGAAAATTAAAAAAAAAAAACCTTTCGACTGATAGCCCAAGAACACCAGTCTCTCCTGTTGTCTACCAGACCTAGCTCCAAGGATCTGGGCAAACAGTGGAACAAGTTAGGTTTAGATCAGGAGGGCTAAAGAATTCCCGCCCCGAATACATATACATGTTTCTCAGTTCTTGACGGCAGGTGCTACCAGAAGAGCCCTGCAATGGTACAAGACCACAAGACCCAGCTGCCCCCACATCTACTCTGACTCCTGCACTCATATCAGATTCTACTAGAGTCCAACATGGTATAAAATACTCCCAAGCAAGCCCCAGGCAGACCCAGCTGGCTTCTGCCCCCAGCTCCTGCTAGACTATGGCTCTGGATATCCTACAGCTCTGGGAGAGCCCACCCACTGGTCCTTACCAAGGATCTTGCTGATGCTGGAGTTGTGCATATCAGGGAAGGCTTGGAGGATCTTCCTCCGCTCGTCCTTCGCCCACACCATGAAGGCGTTCATGGGCCTCTTGATGTGGCTGCTGTTTCGTGACTCCGGGAAGTGGCGGGAGCCTGGGGGGCAGGGATGGTGTCAGCTGGGCAGCCTGTCTGGACTAGGGTGAGTCCTCCAGGGCCAGCAGAGATATCCTCTACTCGGCCACTAGGAGGCGCCAAGGAGGCTCCCACAGCAAGTTATCCCCAGAGGCCCAGCCAGGTACTGGAGGACAGACAGTGGGGACAGCCACGCAGGAAACCGCTCTCTACGGAGACCCAGTAGTCACAGATGTGGGAGACAGAGCCAACATAGACACAGGACAATGGGGGTACACACACCTGCAGAGGACCCAACAGACCATGGGGAAGACGAGATCAGAGACAGACACAACCTGAGCCTCCCTGGTCCCCCAGGGTACAGAGATGGGCCATCCAATTGTCCTGCCCAATAACCCAGTGCCCAGGGCCCTCACCGTCCATGTCACAGCTCAGCATGGCTTCCTCCAGTGGGTGCACGCAGCCCTCCTCCAGCCGCTCCTTGGCTGGGGACGAGTCCAGGTTGATGAGGTCCTAGTGTTGATGGGGCAACCTGTCCATCAGCCTCTGCTCTGTCAAACCCTCTCCTCCCCTCCCTTCGGTAGCCTTAGACTATCTTCCAATCCTGGCCATAATGTGCTCATCCCTGGGGTGCAGGGGAATAGGGCCCATACCTTACGGAAGGGGGCATTAGGGGAGCCTTCCAAGGCCCCGCTGTGGCTGTGCAGCAGCTGTCGAGCATCCTGAATGGCTTTGGTGACAGGATCCCCTTCACCAAGGAAGCCTAGGAAGAGGGCAGAGGAAGAGGAGGGAGTCATCTGGGTTAGTGTTTCCTCTGGCCCTTCTTGGCTGCACACCCAAAGAGATGCCATTTACACTGGCTGCTGTGCAGTGACAATATTCTAAAAGCAAAAATAGCAGCCCCTGGAACTGTGTAACTTAGTGGCATGAATTCCTGATGCTGGAGTGCCCAGACAGATATGGTGGGGCAGAGCAGGTCATGTGGTAAAACCTAGAATTCAGGGGAAAGGACACGCCCACAGTCGTATCCTCCTTGGCCCACCCCTAAGAGGGCTGGTGGACAGGTGTAGGCAGCAGAAAGCTTACCCAGAGGCAGGCTGGGGGGGCTGGACTGTAGGTCCCGTGTAGGGGCTCCATGGCTGGGGGGGCGGGGGCCACAGTTGCTCATCTTCAGGCTGGGGGAGTTGGAGGTGTTGGGCAGCTCCGAAGACTTGGGCTTGGCTGTCAGGTTCAAGGGCTGGGAGGGCTCCTGACGGGGGACCCAGAAGGTCAAAGGTAAGAGATACCCAAGGAGGCCTCCACAGAGGGACAGAAGGGAAGTGAGACCAGCATACCCAGAACAGACAAGGATAGTGACAGCAGGCTCGGCACCTGTCACTCAGCACTGAGGCTGGTGGGTTTGAACCCGGCCAGGGCCTGCTAAACAACAATGACAACAATAACAACAACAAACAGCCGGGCATTGTAGCAGGAGCCTGTAGTCCCAGCTATCAGGAGGCTGAGGCAAGAGAATCGCTTAAGCCCAAGAGTTTGAGACTGCTATGAGCTATGACGCCATGGCACTCTACCGAGGGTGACATAGTGAGGCTGTCTCCCCTCCAAAAAAAGACAAATAAATAAATAAATAAATAAATAAAGGAGAGTGATGACGCAAAAGTGGAGACAGAAAGGGCAGGTAAAGAACATAGGTTCTGGGGTCACCATTCCACAGCCCACAGTCCCCAAGATAGGGCAGTCAGCCATTATGAGCTGGGGAGGGAGCCCCAGGCCGGAGCAGAGAGTAGTACCTGCAAGGGGTGGTGGGCAGCCATGGCCCCAGGCCTCTTCACCACTGGGGCAGGTGGGCTGTGCAGCAGCTGCAGCGGGTACTCCACTATGGAAAAGGCGCAGGGAGAAAAGTCCTGGATGAGCACAGAACAGCAGATACCCTGCTTGACGGGGCCCTGCACCACAAGGTGGGCCAAGCCTCAAAGCTGGCTCTCCTCTGACTGCTCTGCCACACACACTGATGTCTTCACCCTGCTCCTGCCCCAACCCGGACTCCAGAGCCCCACCCAGTGGTGCAAGGAGAGAAGGCATGTCATCTGCTCATTCAGTGGATACTTGTATTTTGTACCTACTAAATACAGGATTCAAAAGCAGCTGCCCCTTGTGTGGCATGTCTCCTGTGCATTATCTCCCAATAAGAAACAGCATGCTCAATACATCAACATCCCATTTTACAGATCAAAGAACAGAGACCTTAGAATCAAGTGGCAGTGCTTGGATTTGAACCCAGGTCCTCGAGACTTCACAGCCCACTGATACAGCACTCTGTCTTCTACCTACCCTACCTCACTCCTCCTCCACCAGGCCCAGCATCAAGGAGTTGACAGTTTAGGTGGAGAAGAAGCCATGTGTACAAACCATAAAGCGCATGACAGGTGGTGAGAAGGGCCGCACAGGTAGCGTGCCAGAGAACTTTGTTCCTGCTTGTGACTAAGCAGGCTCTCAGGGGCAGTCGAGATGTGAGCTAGTGCCTGCAGGACAGGCAGGATTCAGACGGGGGGAGATGGGGTGGCAAGATGTGTAAAAGTGAGATCGGGGAATGAGGCAGGCACATGGGCCAGGTCGGCTCCATGGCCTACAAAGGCCCAGCTCAGGAGTATGGACAGTGTACTGTGGGCACCAGGGGCCATCTAAGGCAGGTGACCTGGGGAGGGCAATATTCACAGCCTTAGGAAGGGGTCCTGCTTGCTTGGATTCTGAAGCAAACAGCAGGAGGCAGCCAGGCCAGTACTGGTCTTTCCTGGCTTAATTTCTCCCTCACCTGTCTAGAAAACCCTTGGGGCCCCTTCCCGGACCAGGCCTGCCTCCTGCCCCCTGCCTCCCAGAATGTGCACCATATTCACAGGGAGTTGCAATAGTTTGGTGTCATTGCCATGGCCTCCAGATTCAGCCCTCCCCTTTCCTAATCCATTCTGCTAATTGGAAACTTCTGTCCACACTGGGCCTATCTCAGTCCACTCGGGTTGCTACAACAGAGACCCATAAACTAGGCAGCTTATAAACAACAGTTCTAGGTGGGGGATCCACCTCAAGATGAAGCATGCCTTTGCATCTTCCCCATATCTAACTCAGATGAGACTTTGGACTTTAAACTTTGAGTTGATGCTGGAACAAGTTAAGACTTTTCGGGCGGCGCCTGTGGCTCAATGAGTAGGGCATGGGCCCCATATACGAAGGGTGGTGGGTTCAAACCCAATCCCAGCCAAAATACAACAACAAGAACAACAAAAATAGCTGGGCATTGTGG